TTTGACTGTGTTTTCACGTCAGTTCATATAGGTCTATTGCATCCATTTTAATGACTACATAAAGGTTCATACCCTATATCAATAGTTTCTTATTTCTTTTTCTAGGCAATTTAAAAAATATATGTATATATAATCAGCGCTCTGTATTTGTGGGTTCTACATCATAGATTCAAACAACCTCAGATTAAAAATATTCAGAAGAAAAAACTCCAAAATGCAGAATTTGAATTTTTTGTTCATCATGTGCTATGTTAAATCCTTGGGAATGAAGTGATGCATAGCATTGTATTAGTTATGATTAATATAAACAACCTAGAAATGATTTGAACTATACGGGAGGATGAGTATAGGTTATATGCAAATACTATGCAATTTTACACTTGATCTTATCCAAAAGGCCAAGAAGCAATATATGCCATTTTATATAAGGAACTTGGGTATGATGTTAGTATCTGTGGGGGTCTTGGGATAAACCCCTTCCCTCACAGATGCCAAGAGGATGACTATATATACACATGTATGTATATATCCATTTTATGTATGTATGTGTATGTATATATATTTCTATATGTGAGTTTTGTTAAGAACATATTCCTGGAACTGGAATTGTTGCTAAGTTCAAGGCAGTTCATATTTAAGTTACTTATTTATTTATTTTTGAGATAGAGCCTTAAGCTGTTGCCCTGGGTAGAGTGCTGTGGCATCACAGCTCACAGCAACCTCCAACTCCTGGGCTCAGACAATTCTCTTGCCTCTGCCTCCCAAGTAGCTGGGACTACAGGCTCCTGCCACAATGCCCAACTATTTTTTGGTTGCAGCCATCATTGTTGTTTTGGCAGGCCTGGGCTGGATTCGAACCTGCCAGCTCAGGTGTATGTGGCTGGTGCCTTAGCTGCTTGTGCCATAGGCACTGAGCCATATTGCAAATTGTGACAAAGACTATCAAATTGTCTTTTTGAATTTTTTTTTTTTTTTGAGACAGAGCCTCACGCTATCCCCCTGGGTAGAGTGCTGTGGCATTGCAGCTCATAGCAACCTCCAACTCCTGAGCTCAAGCGAGTCTACTGCCTTAGCCTCCCAAGTAGCTGGGACCAC